ATTGAAGCACATGTAAGTTATGGATTTAAGCTTCTGATTAGGAGATTGATGTTTGAACACTATAAATTGATTTCTGCACATCATCACTTTGGGTTTAAACACACACGAGTTGTGGATTTACACTCATATTAACACTGGAGAAATTGCGATCAGGAGATTGATATTTGTACACTATCAATTTTTATAATATTCTTAGCGGATAAACTGTTTAAATATTGCACTATTTATTGATGTATATACTGTATTTCTGATATATGTTTCTGATATGGTTAGTTTTGCTTTTATATACTTATGGTAATTGATATACAGTATTTATATTTATAAGCACAGTGCACACTCTTTAGTATATTCACATTAGTTCAAGTGATATATAATATACTTCCTTCTGTACTCTGTCATAGTAAAAAGAAGGGTTAGGGTAATTATCTACGAATGTGAACATGCATTTTCCTTGTGTCTTGTGCCAATTATAATCTTCACTATCACTATTACTGATTATTTCTAAAATGCCTACCCTCTATAATTAACAAGATATCTACACACTCCCAAAAATAGTTATCAAAGTGCACAGGGCATGTGCAGTTTACCCAATCCTTCTTTCCCACTGCTGCTCCTCCCTCACACTTGCCAGCAAATCCTGAATGTCAAAATGACAGTGGGGCATTGCTATGTAAATACAGCAGCTACAATAGCTGCTGCTGTCAAATAATGAACTGTATGACAAAGCATTTATAAATATTATTCAAATGCGAGATGGAGTGATACAAAGTAATATTTTTACTTTCGCATTTACACTGCTTAATTCATCTGCAGATCAAAGGGATGAGCTTTGATCTGCATTTAATGTCAGTTAACCTCCCTGGCGGTATGATTATTCAGGATTTTAGAATCCAAAAGCGGTACATTGTTTTTCATGGGAATTTGTTGTTTTATATTGTAGGCCTGTAATTCTTAGTAAATCTTAGGAATAACTCACCTAAATCTGTCCAAACAAGAGTCCAGTAGACATCCCAGGTATGATAAAGTTTGAAACACGAAATTAAAAAATTATAATATAATAAATTAAAAATAATTATAAGAAATTATAATATAATATATAAAGGCAACCAAAAAATGATTTTTTTTTAAATAAAATGTTTTCCAATGGAACCCCTTATTAAACCTTTGTTTACCATAATCAGCCCTAACAAACTCCTTCACCCATATTATTTTCCTCCTGATTTTTGTTTTTAATTTCTGTAGTTCAAAACATTAATATTTAAGTTGTTTTCCTTTTTATTTGTTTTGTTCTTTTTTGTTTACATTTTGTTTTAATTTCACATTATAAAAAGCACAGCATTAACAACAAAACCCTTATTTCATTTGAAAATAACTTTGCAATGCTTTCAATGCTTCGAACCAGAATACTTAATTTAGTGTTATTTCTAAATGGGACAATTGATAAAACAAAATGTATACATTTTTTCTACAGTAACACAAATATATTTATTAAAACAATACTTAAATGTATTTTATAAAATAGTACCACCATCTGACTTTGCACTAGCCTCATGTATTCTCAAGAACATCGTCAGTGAGAATAGCAATTAGAGCTTGCTAATTGAAGGATAAGGCTCAGATATAATCTCATCCTTCACTATGCAATGACAGTTTTGACCAAATTGTACTTTTACTGTAGTGGAAGGAAATGGTCAAGACCTTGTATAAAGTCTGGGAGGGGCATCTTGAAAAAGAAAACCAGATTTAAAGAATAAAAAACTTTTCAGTGTAGTGACAGTTCACAAATATGTATTTTACCATAGATTCAGCCATTGACCTACAATGTCACTTTAAAGATCTATTTATTTACATTCTTAGCTTAATTTAATGATATCACAAATAATAGTGACCTGTAATAAACCAACCACATATCAAACGTTTACTTGTTTTTCACACATTTAGGAATTTTCTGAATATCTGCATGAAGTGTTCCAAAATGTTACCCAGCAATTATATATTAGTCAAATACAAAAAAAGTTTCAATTCCAAAATCTCACAATATTTTACATATGAGCAAACTGTTTTCAGTCCAGTTGTGAAGTTCTATGATAATGATATTTTTAGAGTGGGTAATTGAAGTCAAGCATTCTAGTCATCGTGGTAATTATTCACTAATGATGTTAAGATGTATCACTTATTATAGTCTTGTGAATAAAGTGAATCCATCTTCACTTTGAATACCTAATTATAAATTGGGAATAATAATAATAATAAAACAGCCTTTTACCTTGCATATGCTTTGATAACCTAAGTGAAAACAGTTTCACTTTATTTACTATGCTATGTGAACATTAATTTAGCTAAGTAAACATTCTCTACTCTTTTAGCCAATTAAACAGTTGCCTCAGATGTTTAAAACAAGTGTGTTAACCTGTCGTGGAATATAAAAGAAAATCTCTCTGTAATAATTTCATTTGTGAATTCTGTAATAATGAAATATAGCCTGATCCAAAAGAAGTCATACAAGCTCAAATGACTGGAAAGAGTTATACAAGAATTTCAAAAGACTTAGGGGGTTATTCACTAAAGAGCTGAAGGATCCAGCCTTAGCTTTGGCTGATCCTTCGGCTGCCTCTGCCCTTCGGATCAGTGGAACCGAAGGGCTGCTGTACAGGCTATTCACAATAGCCCGTACAGCAGCCGAAGGCAGCCGAGCCGCCCAATTGTTATTCATTGGCCAAGTCCTGCTAGAAGACTCTGCCAGGTGTCAGCCAATAGGAAACAGTTGGGTGGAGCTAGCTGTCACTGCTAGCTCTGCCCAATTGTTTTTCTTTTTTTCTTTTCTTTAAAATATTTTTCTTGTTTTACATTTTCCTATTTTTTATAATTTGTAAAATAATTTTGCTTGGCAGCATTCGGCTATTCACTCACTGCCGTTCGGACCCTATGAGAATAGGGGTGAACGGCAGCAAGTGAGCTGCCAGAGCTTCGGCTCAGCTGATCCAGATGTTGGATTGGCTGAGTGAAGTCCTTCTGCACTTCGGCTCAGCCGAACATGCAGAGCATGTTCGGCTGACCAAAGATAGCCGATGTACGGCTGAAAGCAGCCGTAAAAGCCAGAAGTAAATATCCGAACAGTGTTCGAATCACTTCACTTCGCCTGGGTTATTCAATCAGCTGCCTTCTGCAGCTTTGTGAATAACCCTGTTAGAACTCCATCCAACAGTTGAGCAGTCCATAATTAAGCATATATTTTACAGATTGAGGATATGTAGCACGAATGATATTTTCCTTGAACACTGAGTCACTGCAGTGTAGTAACATGCATTCCAATCATTTGCCAAAGAAGTGACAGCTAAATATCTGCAAGCATCTTGTGCACTTATTAATATCTATGTTACTGAGTCTGTCTTTAAAGAAAACACTAAATAAAAGAGGTTCCATGAAAGGTAACCACTAAACTCCCAAAAACAACAATAATATAAATAAAATAAAATAGTATGGATCTTAAGTTTCCATAAAGTGAAGTTCTCAGGTTCTAAACATTGTCTAAGCTATTTATTGCATTTATCAGATAAGTTTATGGATTCATGTGATGCTCTTTGCATTCTTGGCCAAGGCTGTATATAATGCTTTGATTGTTGCAGTTGGCATGAAGACCCACATCCTCTTCTTCTTTTTTGGAAATTAATTAGTAGAGATTTCTTGAACGCTTCATCAATATTGGGGCTAGGTGCAAGAGGTAAGCCAGAAGATCCCCACCCAGAGCCACATCCATCAATTTATGACACAATTTAAAAACCTGGTCCCAAAACCCCCGAATACAAGGGCATGCCCAGAAAATATGTTATAAGGTACCCTCTTCATAGTTACATCTCCAACAAAGGGGTGAGCACTGTGGGAAAAGTTTATTCAACAGTTTAGGAACCCTGCACCAGCGCAAAAGAATCTTGAAACCCGTCTCCTGAAGCCTGCTAGAGATGGAGGCTCTATGAATCATTTGTAGAATTCTAGCCTTCTGACCGTCAGTAAAGGCAACTAACAAGAAAATGGTGGGGCCTAAGAGCCTTCAAAAAGAGAGGAGCGGGTCAACAAGAGAACGGATGGCCAGCCACATCCTCTTTTGGTTAAGTCCCATCTCCACAATTTAACAGCCCAATGCCAGAGCTTTTAGTGGTCACTGAGTTTTTGGTGCTGGCCTATTGAAGGGTGAAAGCAGGTATATAACCCCAGTAAGAGGTGGAGCTTTAAGCCAATGTGAGCAGATCTGAGACACTCTTTTCAGTCTTAACCTGGAATTAAAGGGATTTGGAGAACAACACTTGTGTTTTCCACACTTGACTAGTGTTTAACATAATTACAGAGTTCTTTGGTTCACTTTAACACCACCTAGGTGTTTTCAACACTACTGGAACATTGTTTTATAGCTACATAGTACAACAATACCATGTTGGTAAACAGACACAGCATTATATTTGGAGATTCTATTTCCTTAATTTAGTCATCATTTCTGCCTCCTGTGAGGGATCTCCACCAGACTCTTAGACAGATAGAAGCTGATAGGCAATTCAGTCCACTAACATTCATCCATACCTTAAATATTAGAGTTATTTGAAGGGAAACTGCTGTCCTACCCAGATGGTGTGGGGGAATAGGGGTAGGGAAGTTAAACCTTTTTTTATTATTGTCTGTGTCACTTTCTGTCCTTGTTAAAAGCAGTCTCTAGGACATTTTTCCAATAGATAATAATAACATACACAAGATTTTAAACCTTCCACATGCTATCCAAAAATTAAAAGAAAAACATGTTGGAATGAGTTTCACTTACTGACTAATGAAAACATAGCTGCTGCTGCTTCTTTGTTAGAAGCTACTAAATATAATTTCTTTAGCATTATGGTCAACACTTGTAGGTAAATTAATCTCAGAAACTATAAAAAAGACATGTTTTTCTTATAAAAAGTAACTTATTTACTGCATACAGGTGTCTTTAAAATGCAAGAAATATTATTCTTTCCTACCTTCGGAGTAGAGATCCAAATGGCAGGGTGTTTTGGGGTATCTGCTGTTTGTATGATTTCCAAGTTTAGTTACACCACCACTTTCAGAATAACAGCATTTGGAGTTTGGACTTTCTTTTCCTGAAACACAAACATAAATAATCAGAAAATAATATCATCCAGAAGTTTTGCAGATGTACATTGAGGCATAAATGCCTTACCAAAGATAGAAACCAATCTTAATCACACATAGTTTACAAACAAAACACGGAAATGCCATAGATATTTTCTCTATGTTCCCCACATTAACCTGTATGTAAACCTCAATTTTATTTTTATTTTTGATAGAGTAGAAAGAGTGAAAACCCCTGCCACTTTTTTTTCCTGTCTGTGTCCAGTTAAGGGGAATTCCTTTTCCCTCCTGCTCTGATATATAAGCCCTGATAAAAGGGGTGCCCACACCTCCAAAATAAATGATCTCTTTTGTTACATTAATAATTAAAAAAATTTTTGGACTTTTCAATTACTAGTGTGGCACCCTTCTTTTTCATTCTTTTATAAATTTTTACTTCTTTT